TAACTAGCTTTTCCCCGCGGCTTCGCTCCCAGAAATTAATATTCTTTCTCCATAAAACCTTTTAGCTCCCAATTCACCCTTACAACGTTTTAATTTTATGTAATGTCGCCATCTTAGATTTCAAATACAAACGTAGCAACAACATTTCATCCTTAAGGGTTGATTTTTAAAAATTGTCAAAACACGTATTTGCTTAATTTCAACAATGAGCAACCTTCGAGTAAATCCGAGTACAAATAAAATATACCCCATGGAAACGTTGCAACCTCTTTTCATTTGATTAATATTATCAAACAACATATATACCAAGTTTTAAGTAAATTCAACCACAAAGAAAGTATGTCCTAAACAAAAATTGCAGACCTTTGTAGCCCCCCCCCCTTTGGTGATTAAATTTTTTAAAATGTCGACATAGGTCTTTCAGAAATTAAATAAAAGACCATTAAGTTTCAGGTAATTCTGACGACAAATAATAACATTGCAAACCCTCTTCACCACTACTGCCCCCCCCCTGGAACGGGATAAAAAGTATCCTATGTCCGTCTCCTGGTTGTAAGCTACCTCCCCATCAATTTTCAGCCAAATCAGTTCAGCCGTTCTTGAGATATGAATAGTGTAACTAACACGACTTTCTTTTATATATATAAGATGCAAATAAAGGCTCTGTCAGACAGAAGGCTGCTCGAGCGGTCCAAGCCGTTCGTCTGCCACGGGCATTGATTACGAGATAAGATTGCATTATCTTAATTAAAATGTAAGATAGTCTGTAGCATCGGACCAAATAGGAATGCCTGACGAAGTAGAAAAATTGATGAATAGTAATTTGTTTTTTTGACATTACAAAATACATAAAAAATAAGTCTTCAAAATGAATTTAACATAATCGATAAAACTCTTTTTTTTCGTTTATTTCATGCGCCCACTTTCTTTTTTATTTTACTTAACTCAAAGCGAGCAGAAGACGCAGTTGTTCTTCGTCAAAGAACTGCTGGATATATTGAATTGGAAACAAAAAAACACGAATTCAGTATTAATTGGAGAAATCACATAGACACTTATTGACAGCAACTGTTCTTATACTGGTTTATATCTAATTTGTCTTAGTCCTCGCCTAACTATTCGCCTCCTGTTTGACAGAGCCTTAAATCTATAGTCGGATTCCGATGTTCAGCTGGAACATTATTAAGAACACGCCGGTTCGACTGTCATCAGATTCTATTACCGATGATAGTTAGTTTCGACTTCAAAGATGTGTATGCCGTACACACTACTGTTAATTTTATGCAAACCGTCTGTCGTTGTATCCGAATTTAAATATTAAGGGAGCATAGTTAGATTGTCCCTTATTTCTTTTGGATCTTATATATTTACAATATTTCGCATATCTAATGATATCATCAGATACTAAAACAGGTCATCGCTAGTGATTTACTTATGGTTATCATCATCACAGGGTCGTCAGTCGACTGGTTGGACACGCACCTCCACTCTTTCCTATCCTGAGCTAATCTTCGCATTTCCCTAAAACTAGAACATCCCACATCCTTAACTATTTGCGAACAGTAATCTAATCTAGGTCTACCTCTACCCCTCCTAACTCCTGTTTCTGCCTCTAATATGTCTCTGACTAGACCTTCATGCCTGAGAAGGTGTCCTACCAACCTATTTTGCCTATTTCTTATTGACTTTCATGGAGTCCTCTATTCTCCTATTCTTTCTAATATTTCTTCATTTCTAACCTTCTCTATCCATGGTATCCTCCTCATTCGCCTGTAACACCACATTTCGAACGCTTCTAACCTTTTATTTTCCGCCGCCCCCACTGTCCATGTTTCGCATCCGTATAGCGCCGCGCTTCAAACATACACCTTTAACAAACTTTTTCGAATTTCTAAATTAACCGTTCGCGATATAAGTGACTTCTTTTTATTGTAGGCAACTCGACCCTGCGCTATCCTTTGCTTTATATCCCTACTACTCCTTCCGTCCTGACTTATCTGACTTCCTAGATACCTACAATCAGTAACTTCTTCTATGTTTCGTCTCCTATCTTTATATTCGCTCTCTCCGTATATTTTCTTCCTTTGCTTACCAGTATTTTTGTTTTACTTTTATTTATTTTATTTATGGTTATATTAATTATAATTTCTCTATTACTAGTGCTTATGTTGTCAAAAGTTAAGAAATGTCGCAGAGAATTAGACACTCACCTAAATAAAAAATAAACATACGTTTGTTAGATACCTACGTCAAACTTTGTATCCGAAAATTAACTCTTTTTGCCTATACTAAAACTTACAAGATTCGCATTTCCTGATGCACATTGCAAATTTAACTGGAATTTGATCGCAGGTATAGGAGCATATCCTATTGCAGGTTCTATATTCTTGAATTCATTTGTTGTAACGATTTGTAAAACATTCGAAACCAGACTGGCACTAAAATACTTTGAGCCGCTAAGTTTCACACCTGAAATAAAAGGAAATTTAACTTAAATTAACACTTTAACATCAAAATGATGAAATAAGTAAAGTTCATAAGTTTCTAAGTTTGGATGTAGAAGGTAATCTCCAAAACTACTCATCCAATTTCAAAAATTCTTTCACTAATATTTGGAATGGACATTCTCAATGGATATAGACTGAATATTATTCCATTAAAATTTAAAGTTACTTTTTCAACAGAAATCAACGAAAAAACGGTCAAGCAAATGTATTTCTTACGAACCTATCTTAACAATAAGAGATATATGAATGCATTTTGTAGTAAAGTTCCAGTGTTTAGAAGGGAATTTGTTAAGATTAAACGCTTAAACCTACCGGATACGCCCTGAGTTGAGAAATTAGCAACTACACCACTGAAATCATCCCTAATTGGAGAATTAACATACTCCATAAGAAAATCATCTTCTTGCACTCCATTAATAACACATCCTGCAGCTTTATTACTTGGATTTACAGCAGCACCCACTGACAAACCGAACAACGCCAATAAAATGGAAAGAGACGAAATCATTTTTTGTTTCATTTTGTATGATCTTTCTTTATTCAATATCAATATTGTGACTGAAATTGTTTAGAAACTCTCTCTTTTTATATTTGCTGCCGAATTTGTTATCAATAGCTTTATCAATATATATACCTAAGCATTTATTAGTAAGCATAAAATTTTTAATGTTTGACTGTATAGCTCGTCCAGCACATAAGTCGTGTATAGTCTTGCAGGGAACATAATATCTCTATTAATAAATTCCTAAAGACTTTTTAGGGAACGGAATCCTTATAATGTGTATGTCAATTCTTAAACCTACAAAATTTGAAGGTAAGTCAAATACCTTTTTCCGAGCATTTTTTTTAGTCAATACATCGCCGTTCTTTTCAAATTATTAACAATCGTCTGCATGACAAATGCATGGGCTTTCATGGTCGTATTTCATGGTATAATTTTACGCGCTGTCTGATTCATTTCAGAGATTTCGAAGTAAAACTACCGAGCGACATCGTCTAGTTTAGTTTAGACCATTGCTTACACGGCATTCAGAAGAACACCCCTTAGATTCCAGATCCGTCTGCTCTAGTCCAACTTTTGCTGTAGATTCCTTGGATCACTTAGGCAAGTGTTGGGGCAGTAATATTCACAGATAATAATTCACTCTCTTCTGGTTTCAGGTCGTCCTTATTCCTTCTTACCCCAACCATTCCCACAATTTCTAATAGAGGACCTTACTAGGTGGGAACGAAATGCCCAAATGTTTTAGAAACGAGATATAACTTCCCACGTTGTCAGTGCATCATTACTGAAGATGTCAGCCGCAATTGCCGACGAAACGTCTGGACCTAACAGTTCATTTAGAGCGCGACCCTTCAACCTGAATAAGTCTACCACTCGCTCGAAACAACCATTTTATCTAATACAAAAACTCTGATGGAAAATGGACCGTTTTCAATTTCGTCAATTTAAATTATGTGGAATGTACTAAATTAAAAACGTAAATGCAATCAACCGTTTGCTTTTCATGTTAGATAATTTAATACAAAAATTAAGAAAAAGTTGGTCTACAAAAATGGGCCTCCGCCTTGAACAGATTAAGAGTGTAAAGGCTGAATTAACAACCATCAGATGATTCTCACGCACTTTGAAAATAAATACTTACTATCACAATCAAATGGTCCTATTGATCTACAATTTTCTGGGCAGTTTTTGTAGACCTGAACCCTGAAAATGCCAATTTCACGATAACCTTTTACTGATGAGCACTTATCGACCTCGAAGCATACATGTTAGGTGAGCTACTTTCTGATAAAATAATAAAGTGGTCTAGAAACATGTTGAGCAGTATTACGTAGACTACAAAAAAAGGGCATAAAACAGTACCGTGACTGGTAAAAACCATTGATGGACATGGAAATTTGGAATATTGAGGATATATCCCTTAAACACTAAGGAAAGATCTCCGAGAAAGGTCCGCGGGGGGTTGAAACGGATTGGTATAGTTATACTTGGGACGATTAAAATTGGCAAAGTCGCAATAAATTATTTATCTGTGAGAATGGACTTATCTCCCTTCTTGTTTCCTCTTGGAACTGTAGTCATTTGCTGCGTTTTGAACATGCTCTTGTTAAGTAAGGAAATGCTTCATGAGTGGTATAGACAAGGTGAAAAGAGATAACCGATAAATAGTAAGCGGGGCAGCGGTTAGAGGTTGTTTAGATACGCATAAGATCAGGGCCGGCTTTATAACTGTGTGGTTGGAATTATATCTTTGAACAGGCGTTTTTGCTTTCAAGTTCAAGTTTCTTTAAAGTCCAATGTTGGCAACTTTTTATTCTGCTTGTCTGCATCTTTTTCTTTTACACATCAATTAGTGTAATGTTATTCTTTTTTTTATTAGTGTCCGCTGCAAATCCTACCTGACATCTCTTTTCTATGTTTACGATATTCCCTACAACGTCTGTCGTTAATAAAAATAGGCGTACTGTCAGCAACCGCCCTAGTCTAGTCAGTAAGTTGAAAGAAAAAACTAAAAGCGAGAGTTTTATTGCAGACTATGCCAATTTTGAACATCCCAACTATATAAACATTAGTTCTTCAGCGAAGCGGGTGGGTTATTTTCTGGTATAAAAAGATTTACTTTGATCGTTATTAATTCATTTGTATTATTATATTTGCAAATAATAATTAACCAAATTTTACGTATCAAACTTGCCGAAGAAAGCTGCAAAAAGTTTGAGGAATTACATTTCCCTCTTTTCCAAAAACCTGATTTTCCACTCAGAATTTTACACAAAAACACTCCATAATTGAAAACCACGAGATAGCATGTAGGAACTTGTATATAAAACTTATCTATTTATATGTATTTAGTTATTTTTTTCATGTGCTGTCGTCCTTACACTTAATCAAACGTGAATTATTTTTCAACGTTTGACACTTCATAATGCTAAAATTGGAACAAAGATATCATTTTTTCATATATATCCCATTTATATTGTACTTACCTATATAAGTAACATATTTCAATGCATTCTAAGCAAGTATATAATTTTATACAGTTTAATGAAATTACTTTTTTATGCTTCAAAGAGATATTCAGTAATTCCGTTTTATTTCATTTATTACCAACTGTGGAATCTTTGCAAATTAACATAGGCACAAATCAGAGCTGATAGGATGAATAACATGACAAAACTCACGCCAACCATTTATTCCTGATGGGGGCTTTCTCAAGGACACAAGTGTTGTAAATATTAGGAAAAAATTGATAGGTAATTTTTGGTGACTTATAGAAATGTACAGTTAGCAGTAACTACTACATTTCTTGAGTTATGTAGAAAACAAAATTCCAAATAATTCGGCGTGTGTAAAAGTACAATAATTTTCAAGTGAGACATTGATTACAAAAACACATAAGTACGTATAGATAAAGTAATAAGTAGAGTGATTAATCAAAATTTCATTTAAATTAAAGACATTACAATGGTTGAGATAAATAACAAAATATTAAATGCCACGTGGTGACGTTAATACTAATCAAAGTATGTAACACCACAAAAAAGCAAGATAATAAAGCATAGTATAAAAAGTAATACAAAAAATAAGAAAGAACGCATCAGGATCGTATTTTCAAATTGTTTATAAATGTGAGCTTCAATTAAATGTTTAATACGTAGTTAGTTAATTATATATAAATTAGTCTATAACGTTCTACGACGTTTTCCGATTCCCAATCTCCTTTGTTCTTCTTCTAATGCTCCTTCTCTCATCTCGCTGTTAATCCCCTCGATCCAGCTTTTCACGGGTCCTCTTTTTTTTTTCTACCAGCCAATGTCCATAGTAAAATTTGTTTTGATATCCTCTAAATCCTCAGCATCCGTACGTGATCGTATTATCGTAGTTGTTTTCTTCTTATATGTTCGATTATGTCATGAGAGACGTCCATGATTTATCTAATTGGTGGACCGTTCCTGTTTCAGCTCTTCTAGCGACTCTTCTCCAGAACCTCATTTCTAACATCCTAAGCATTATTTCCGACGTGTGTTTTAGAGGTCAAACTTTACTATTGCATGTTACTACCTATAGACTTGGTAATGGTAGTGAGAATTCTGTACTTGTTCTTCCTAGACACACTTTGTTCCCGAAATAAGCTATTAAGCGACGCTACGGTCTTCCTATCTGATTTACATCATTATTGCAGTCACACCTGCGAGCTTGTCATGACTTAAAAAAAAATAGTGTCGATAGTTGTGAGACCTATGAAAATTCGAAAACTTACCCTTCCTTAAACGTATTAATTGACCTTTTAGCGGAAGGAATATTACTTGAAAGAAATGAAAATAATAAAAAAAAAACTGGAGAATAGCGCAGGGTCGAATTGCCTACAATAAAAGGAAATCACTTCTATGCTCGCGAACGATTAATTTAGAAATTCGAAAAAGTTTGTTAAAGGTGTATGTTTGGAGCGCAGCGATGTACGGGTGCGAAACATGGACAGTAGGCGCGGCGGAAAAGAAAAGGTTAAAAGCGTTCGAAATGTGGTGTTACAGGCGGATGGTGAGGATACCGTGGATAGAGAAGGTTGGAAATGAAGAGGTATTACAAAAATAGGAGGATAGAGGACTCTATGGAAGTCAATAAGAAATAGGTAGTAGGACACCTTCTCAGGCATGAAGGTCTAGTCACAGACGTATTAGTGACAGAAACGGGAATTAGGAGGGGTAAAGGTAGATCTAGATTAGATTACTGTTTGTAAATAATTAAGGACGTGGGATGTTCTAGTTTTAGGGAAATGCGAAGTTTAGCTCAGGATAAGAAAGGATGGAGGTGCGCGTCCAATCATTCTTAGGACTGACGACCTTATTTTGATGAGTAAAATTTTGAAGATGCACAATGTTAACATAAACTTATCGATCTAAACCAGAAAAAGATGAATTGNATTATATGTACGTATACTTGAAATCGATGATTTATATGGAAAAGCTCTTATCACTCGAGTTTATTTTGACAAAGGATCATTGCATTTCTTGAGGGATAATAATAATATAATCTTGTGATGATAACAGTTCTTATATGATTGTTTTGGAATGGTATAGCGCTGTATATACTAAAAAATAATTTAAAACGATGTGCATGTCACCTTATCAAGTCAATTGTTTTATTCTTCCACCAACAAAACTTACAATAATACGTTACTATATAATAATTTATTTATTTTTAAAATACATATTATTTACTTGTTTATATCAATATGTTACTAATTTAATGGTGAGTACTAAAGAATATTATTGCATCAATTGAATAAGGTGTTATTTTTCCTCAGAGTTTGGTGTATAAGGTGGTGGTGGTTGTAGGGCTGTAGATGGTACAGGGCGTCTTGTTTTGTGCATTAGTTTAAAACCGATGGCTGCACATATAGCAAGAAGGATCGTCAGTAAAAGGAAGATATACACAAAACCTGATAGATAATCAGTAAAGAAAATTAGTATAGTTTTGGGCCCATCCCAAACAACCACCACTGACGCAGTGGCTGAATTTAACGAATTGGTACTCAAAGCAACTATGTCGAACAGAATTATTCC